AATCGAACACACACAATAAAAAAAATAAGTGTGAAATTTTCATCGATTGAAAATACCAGCACCTCCAACTCCCCGGTCCTCTCTTCCAGTAGACATATCCGGCATCATGGAGATGGCTCTGAAGATGGATGTATCGTGTCCTCCACGACTAAGCCAACAGAGAAGTATGAACGCTCAGCCATAAAAGTATGGGAAAAAGGACAACGAGATCTCCTCTCCGAAGCCGGGAACGGAAGGAAACCCATGGTGAGATGGAGCAACCTTCAGCAAGCCGCCGTAGCGGTGCCTCGGGATTGAAATTTACATGTAGTAAACCTCTACTGATGTGAGGAAAGAAAGGAAGAAAAAGAGAGAAATCGAAAAGCTGAAATTTTGCAGTTTTATAGCCCCGGCCGGGCGGAGATCACATGACTACTTACATAAGATTTGCTTATTTAATACAAGCTGACTCATGTTGGTGATTACCTAATTGTTTTCACATGCTGAAGTCGGAAAACCACGCCGGTTGCGGCTAGTGCGGCTTGCGGCGCCAAGGCGAGGCGGGTCCTGTCCGAAAGGGGACTAGGCGCGCTCAGGGCGGCAAGTGGGCACGAGACCCTATTTTCTTCGCTCTCCTTTTGTTTTTCCTGGCTTTTGGCCAACGACATCGAACATCGCCAGCTCTCCTTTTAATATCGAGCAGTGACACGCGACGCCGTCCTCGTCTTCACCCTTTTGCCCTGCCTCCCTCCCGGTCCTGTACTCGTCAAGGTACATATACCCTGCCCTGCACTACCGGCATATCAGTCTCCGCCCGTCGATCGCACGATTCACAGCAACCAGGCAAAGTCATCTGCGGGGACGGCGCACTCGAGAACGTCATCTCACATAAAGTTGCTCCCTGCCCTCCACCACACCCCCAAGGCTCACTCTATCCCATTTTCCGATAGCCCCGATAAGCGAGCCGATATTGTTTTCGTCGTCGTCTTCGGAGAAGCTGGTCTGCCTGGTGACACACACCTATTTATTTGTACCTCTTCTCAATATACATTGCACATCGCCCATCGTCTCTCTCACGCACACACTATTACAGCACTCATACACACATACATACATACTATATACACACACCAGCACAAGAACAATGCCCTCTGCGTGTACACAGCCGGTTGGCTGCCATGAAGTCAGATACATTCCGCTGTCATACAATCATGCTGACTCGCAGGCATCGGCTTTGAGGCTCGTCTTGACGCTCAACCCGCACTGGAAGGATGCTCAAGGTAGGATCGAGTTTGTTCGCTTCACCGATGGAATCACCAATACGGTATGTATATCATCATGACAGAGAGAATGGTAGACTGTCGTTCGTCCGCTGCTTCATAAAATACATCATCCTTGCTTCTCCTGCGCCGGTCTGACGAGTTTCCATCGTAGCTGTTGAAAATCATCCTGAGGGCTCCTGGCCTGTCTGAGGAAGAGATTGATAAAGAGGCTGTGTTGATGCGAGCATATGGAAATAATTCTGAAATCATCATAGACAGAGAACGTATGTCTGCGCTCCATTAGACTTCCCTATGCGACAACCCACTGAGCGCTTTGATCACCTCGCTCGTTTTGTTCTATTCCAGCCTGGCTAACCCGCAGCAACCCATTCATTGTCTACAATAGGGGAGACAAAATCCCATGCCCTTCTCGCTTCTCGAGGCCTTGCTCCTCCTCTCCTCGCCCGGTTCGCCAACGGACTCTTATACCGATTTGTCCGTGGACAAGCAGCTTCTCCTGACGATCTCACCAAGCCTGCCATTTGGCGCGGAGTTGCTCGTAGACTCGGCCAATGGCATGCTGCTCTGCCCATCAGTGATGCGCCCTCCGATGCACCCTCACCGGGGACTCGGGACGGCGATTCCCTCTCTCTAGGCTCCAGTGACTCCGAGATCAAACCGGTTCAGGAATCAACCGCCGTCGAAGATGACATCACACCAATCAACACTCGTTTCGAGGGGCCAAACCTCTGGGCAACGCTCCAAAACTGGATCCTTGCGTTGCCAAAGAGCACGGACCAGGAGCGGACCCGACGAAAGAACCTTCAGAAGGAGTATGAAAGGATACTTTCTGAGTTTGATGATGGATCTGGCCTAGGTGAAGAAGGAGTAAGGCTTTTTATCCCTGGCCCTATCATATACTATATTGATCCATATTTGCTAACCTTGCTACCTACATAGATGGTCTTTGCCCACTGTGACCTATTGAGCGCCAACGTCATCATTCAGCCTCGACCAAAGGAGTCTACTCTCGCAGATGGCGCTGCTGAAACCGTCGATTTCATTGACTATGAGTACGCTATTCCGTCGCCGGCTGCGTTTGAGCTAGCCAACCATTTTGCTGAGTGGGCCGGTTATGACTGCGACTTTTCGAGGCTACCAACTCGATCTATTCGCCGAAGCTTCCTCGAGGAATACATCGATAGTTTTGCCCAGCACAGAGAGCTCCCTGAGTCCAAGCAGAAGACTGTCGACAGCCTTTTCGCTGACGTTGATCGCTATCGTGGTCTTCCTGGCTTTTACTGGTATGGTAGACCTTATCACACATTCATACACAGACACCATACTAACATATCACTTCTAGGGGCGTCTGGGCTTTAATTCAAGCGACTATCTCCAGAATTGACTTTGACTACGCCTCTTACGCTGAGCAGCGTCTCGCAGAGTACTGGGCCTGGAGGCACGAGCAAGACGGCTCTCGCTCAAAGGCCGGCGAGAAGATGCCTCTTCGCGAGCAGCGTTGGGCCCAAGAGGCGTAATCGCTTCATTCCGACTTTCCTTTCTTCCCTCCCTTGCCCTCTTCACTTCTGCCGCTCTCCTTTATGGGCTACTATCCGGAACAGCTTACCGCTTTTTCAGATCTGACTTCCATGACCTCCCGATGGTACTCGTTGTTTGACCTTGACAGTCTCTGCGGTACGTCCTGTTCCACTTATTACATCTGCCACCTTATTAGCACCCACACCTATTTTTGGCCTCTTCTTCCGCTTTATCTATTCATTTAATGTTTCATCTACGGGACCCTCCATTGCCTGGACAAATCATTCGACCACGAGGCAATACTGTACTCTTCCGACGACTGTTTCAGCCTCATAACATAGTTTCTCTACCGTTTAGACAGCAGATAGCAGAGTTACAGGCGCCACGAGGTTATCTGTGTATTTTAGCTAGCTTATATTACACATAGAGTAACAAGCCAGTTAGCTGAAGCAAAAATACAGTCCGTGCTATAATAAGAGACCGCAAAGCTACTCCGCACAAAAGATTAAAGAGGCGGATGCCTTGAAATTGACCGAAACAGAATAACTTTTTTCTCCAAATGATTTGAAATATTTATTTATTGCTTCGTTTCTTTCTTTCTTTCTTTTTTTGTTTATACTCTCTGGGTGGTTCTCAATGGATCCACGGTGGAGAGCCAAAGATTCCTACCCTACGTCATCCCGAAACTCTCTTGCCGCCAGGCACAACCACATTTCAACCTCCCTGCATCCCACAAAACATCCGAAACAGAGCCTGCAACTATGCTACAAGATGTTTCTAGTTTATCACTTGTCTTTTAGCTCCTACGTCTCTAGAATCACTTTCTCTTTTTGTTTATACCCAAATTTCTAGAGACAAACGGCGTCATCACAAACTTTTTCCAGCATATCTTACGGCTGGCAACTATGGCCCAACTACCCCGACTATCTATAAGCCGATATTCTCCACAAAAATCAAGGAGACTTCGCGGGTGGGAAAGGATATATACCCTGGCAGGCTGATATAACAGCCGTCTACAACGATTTTATAATGTCATTGATGAAAATAACTATTGAGGCTATAATGCGCCTCATGCTGCGTCCTCCTCGTCCTCGGCTTCAGCTTCTTCCTCCCCTTCTCCATCCTCTTCATCGTCATCATCTTCAAAATCCTCTCTATTCGAAAGAGATTGAGAAATAGCGTCACAAATCTTAACTATGGTATCGCTCTCTGTCCGGAAGAGAATTCGGTTCATCATTCTCAGCGCACTGGCGTCCATGGTTTCCTCGGAAGGCTCCTCCGCTGCGTCATACCATGCTTCATCCCTGGCTTCAAGCGCCTGACGAGCAGCCTCTTCAGCCTCCTTGACTTTTCGAACCAATTCAGGGTCCTTGCACAAGTAATTTGCTCTAGCAATTACGCTGCCCCCGGCACGCTGATTAGCAACAAATATCTGGGGGTCAATGTGCTCGCGGCCCCAGACATGCCATTGCATGATCTCGATGTCCTCACGGAGGGTATATGGCGGCTCATCATCCCAGGTCTTACTCCTCCATTTGCGAGATAGGCGACTATGAAGGCGCATGTCTGCTAGATGGCCGATGATACTATTCAGACTACGACCTGCGTAGGGAAAGTTTGCATGGAGCCATGCGGATGTGACGTCTTTCATCGAGTTGACGACAAGCCATGCTTCCTCGTTGTCGGTCCATTTACGACCTGCTTGGATTGATATTAGCTATTTGGTCATTAGCATGGGATTAGGCATAGTTACCTCGGATAACTGTCGAAGTTGTCTTGTTTTCTATTAGCCTCGGCGGTTGAAATGGGTCCGGGGAAGTTTATTAACTCTGTTCCACTTACCTGGGTCCCTTGATCTTGGGAGGTAGCCATTGAGACGGAGAAATCGCTGGTTGTTGGGGTATGATAGGGCTATAGAAATGGTATTCAGGAGTCCGAATAATGCAGCTGGCTTATAGCGGCTATTGTATAATTGCATACAACATCTAGTATCGAAAGGAGAAAGTCAAGCCTCTTTTTATATACCGGCCGTGAACTGCAAAGAGACCTGTCCACAAACCCATACCCTTGATGAACAGTTGCAGACCACCGAGTACATGGCAGATGTCGCCAACTCTGCCCTCCGTCTTGTCCCTCGTTGGAGGGCATCGGCCAAGGGCAGTTAAATGCTATATTCGGGAATTGACTGATGGCTGCTTCACTGACGCTGTCTCAAAGGAGATGGAGATGTCTAGGTAGGGAGTATCAAGCCACATTGTGTATGCACATACAATGCAATGGCCTAGGGATCCTCCGCCTAACAGTGTAGATCCATGATAGGCCCTGGTGCCTTTGCTTGTGCATTGTTGAAAACAATGCTGATAGTTTCTTCGAGTGATTGCTCTTGTTTTTGGGGGGGGGGATATTGACTGGAAGCTGTCCACAGCCAGGCTATAGACATGACCAGGGAGTCAAATTTTGACACCTTAGTTCGTATTCTAGGACGTCTAGCCCAGATACAGTATATTATTCCCCGAATAGAGAAGTACGTAATTTCAAGGGCGACATGTAGTTACCAAAATCATATAGTATGCCATCATAAGTTCGTCCAGCTAAGCAATATGCTCCACTTTGCTGTATGCACACTGCTGCAAACAGGTCTAAAGAAGGTACCTCTTTGCTGAATAATGGCTGATCAGGCTAAGTTTAAGTATATCTTCCTTTCTACTGGCAGCTGGAGCTTGTAGGTACACATCGGTTACTAGGTATAAGCAAGTTAAATTATGCAGCTGGGTTCGATTATCATTATCTAGCTAGGGGAACAAGTAACAGAGAAGTCGTAACTGCCATGACACAACCTGACTCCGTTGTCGCCGAAATTCGCCGCCTCTACGTACCCATGGAAGACCATTAATCTAGTGTAGAAAGAGGACGGGGACAAATAGACAAATAGAACGAAGTGATAGAATGGGGTGAAAGGAATAAGGGTATACAGGTGGGGTAAGGAGAAAAGATGCATTATTTTTTCGGGCATTCGAACCTGTGGAATAAAGAGGTAAAACCAGTGTTTTTTTTTTTTGTTTTTGTGTTTTGTTTATTTTTGTTAGGGGTAACAGTCCGGGGAAGAAAGACCAGAGAAAGAGAAAGAAGGCAACAAAAAAGCCTCCTTTATGCATGCATCAATCCGTCTATGCCGTAGTCTACAAAGCCAAAGGGGCCAAGGCAGCCATGATGGCGCCAAGGGAGAAGCCAACGAGACGTCCTGCTCCGTTATTCTGGGCTGGAGGAGAAGGAGTAGGGGTTGGAGTGTAAGTGGCAGAGATGGTAGGAGCGTGACCACTGGTGCTGATAGCTCCAGTACCAGTAGGGAAAATGCTAGAGATGATACCTGTGCCAGTAGGACGAGGCACATAACTGGTGGGGGTACCTGGTTGCTCGACGAGGGTGAAGTTGGCGCAGGTGAGGCGCGTACTGTTCCTATGGTGGATGACAATGGAACGGTTTCCGAAGAAAGTGCCCAGACCAGGCTTAGTAGAGGTGTAGAGGTCATGGAACGTCTGGTTGAAGTGCTCCTCCATGCTAGAGGTGGTGAGTCTGCCGAACTTGCCGCTGAGGTCTCCTGGCTCGCAGGTCTGAGGGTGAGCGTCATCGCATGGGGGTGTCTGGCCACGACCGAAGGGATCAAGGTGGTCCTTGGTTGCTCCGCAGCTACCATTTGTTGGGACTGGATCGACGTGGAGGTGGTATGCTGTTGTTGTTGTTAGCTTAACTATCTTGTTTGTTTGTTTGTTTGTTTGGTCGAAGCACGTATGTAACTTACGGAATGGACCCTCTGTGTTGTCGAAGCCCCAGAGATCGAGAGTAAACACGACACCTCTGCCGGAACTATGAGCAGTAGCATTGATAGTTCCTCTGATACCGGTTCTGCTGGTCTCGGGCAACTTGGCCTGGTACACAACGCCGAGGGGGTTGTCGACGGTCTCAGGGGCGTCCTGGGAGGGAGTGGCCAAAGCAAGGCCCAAGGCCGAGCAGGCAAGGAAAAGAGAGGCCTTCATTCTGGCTGATGATGCTTGTTGGTGTGGTAGATGTGCAGTATTAAGAGTAGGTATTAGACTGTGAAGCTGAAGATGCTGGTAGTTGTTTGTTGTAGGAAGAAGAAGAGAAGAAGAGGAAGAAGTAGAAGAAGAGAAGTGAGAAGCTGCTTCTTTAAAGGAATCAAAACAAGGTGAAGAAGAAGAGGACGACCGCCAGCCGCTTCGTGTAACTAGCTAACCAGTTAGTTGATCAATTCACTGATGATGATTCAAGAAAGCAAAGAATAAAGAGAGAGAGGGAGGGAGAGAGGGAGAGCCAGTCTGAAGCCGTCGACTTCACTCCTTATATAGACCGTGAAACCCGCCAGCCAGCCCAGCTCGCAGCTGCGTTTCCAAAGCGCCGTGAAAGAGAGCCGCCCATTTCGCCCATTCGACGGGGCGCTGTTTCCAAATCATGGTGAAGCTCCCTGCTCGGCGCCTACGATAGGCCTGCCCACTATTCTCTAGGCACGTCTTGTCCGCTGCAGCTGCATCCACTCGCAGGCCCCGCCGTTGATTTGCAGCTAGGGATAGGCCGGACGCATCCCCCCCGTTAGCCCGTCGCCCCCCCTGGGCAGAGCGGGCGCTTAGAGCCAGCGGACGGCCTGCTCGTTGGCTGGCGCTCCTGCTGGGCCCCCGGGCAAGCTGGGGGTTGTTACTTAACTCGTTACCTAGTTATTTTTATACTCCGTGCTAGGAGGTCCGCTCATGCGTTTGTCCTACGAGTCTCGATTTCCTCTCAGCCATGGTCTGTCGTCTTGGCCGCCATTCCCGCTTTGCCCTCCTTTTCCTTCGTCCTTTTCCCTTCTTCCCTTCGTCTTTCCTCGTCTTTCTTCGAGTCTTCTTGCTTTTCCTTTCTCTTCTTCTATCTTTTCTTTTCTTTTCTTTTCTTTTCTTTGAGATACGGCGGGCGCTTAGATAAGACAGGGGTGGCTGATAGATAAGTCCCAGAGAGGACTAGCGTGTTTCAAGGTGATGACATAATTGGAGCTTTGACTTTCTTGGCATTTTGAAACATCAAAAAAAAAAAAAAAAAAAAAAAAAAAAAAGGACAGAAAAAAAGACAGTAAAAGAGAAGAAGAAGAAAAAGATAGAGAAAAGGAACGGACAAAGGAGAGCAGCATCCAAGGGGGGCCGGCAGGATGGGATATTAATGCATAGCAAGGCGGTAGACACAGCCGGGCTTTTGCTTTACCTCCTCTCCTGCCCAATCAGCCCCACAGGATTGTCACTTGAAAGACCAAGAGAATTCCATTATTCCTAGCACCTTGTGGTTGACAATGACTCTAGCATGGCCCATCTTATTATAGGTATATAAAAGCAGCTTTTGACCGCCAAATCTCTGACACCTGCCTTTTTGTTTTTAACGTCTTCGGCTTGGCGGCCTACACGATGAGCTCTACATCCCCTATAGCGCAGAGTGGATATTAGATAACTATTACAGATCTTCGGAATACTAGACCACATATCTTTGAGACATCCATTATTGCATATCTCGCATAGGATAGGCTGCTCCCCTCATGGCCACTGAGAATGTGGAGTCATAGGCCTCTGGGAGCCCGCAGGGAGGCTGACGGACCTTATCACATTTTGACCCGCGAAAAAGTTTCCACGACATAATCATGGGGCAGCCACTCTCTATAGAGGGACAACATCCTCCACATTTCTCTTTATCCATCGGACACCTCCAACGAACACTAGCTGTTTATGAGATTATTTCAGCAGTGTAGTGCAGGCAGGGGGTTGGGAACGCCGGTCTCGACCGAACCATAGCCGATGAGAAAACGAGTTTCTTCGTCCCAGACCAATCGATACAACTCCTAGTCGCCGGCCACCAGATGAGCCATGGATTGTCTTCTGTAGGGAGCCTGCGCCGCAGCTCACTCCGCTCTATCATGGACTTGCGTTTAATACAGAGCTGCAACTCAATGGAGTTGAGTTGTAGGGTAAAGTGGCCCAGTCAACTTTTGACTATAAGTAGCTAAGGGACCCTACGGTGGATACCTTTAGCTCTCTAGATGAATTGTAGGCGTTTGGGGTAATATGTTAGCATGATTTGTTCGAACTGACCAAGGGCATAAGGATGTTCACCTCCTTGATATTCTCGCCTTCACAGGCTAGGTAGACCTCTTGGTTCAGTCCTTGTCAATCCCTCTCCCAGTTACCGAGTCATTTATTGCTCGGGTATTGTTCTGTCGGGAAGGAAAATGTTACCATTTTTGCTACCTGTGTGGGCTTCGCTCTTTGGGCCCAGTGGCATATTTGATATCTTCTTGGCCAGGAAGTTGACCAGATATCTACCTAGTGTTAGCTAGCATTCATATACGTAGCAAAGCAGTCTAGACCACCCTTTCAATCGATCACTTCACGATTGTCGGGAGGCGACTCCTGCTGCTTCAGGTTCCCACATCGCCTTCGTAGAGAGGGTGGATCATAAAACTTGGTCGAACAGCGGAACCGCAGAACCCGTAGCTAAATTTAACATGGGTCACTCAATCAAATCGCTGCCCAAGTCCCTGGATATGCACACCTCAGAAGATCTCCTTCACTCTGCTAGTTATGACTCTTGGGTTATTCATGCTGAGAATGGTCGGGAATCAATTGAGCTAACCAGCTGACTTGACTAACTAGTTACAAGGCTGATTAGCTGCTCCGGAAGTACGGAGCGATCTCTGGGCCACCTGTGGGACTCCAAGATATCTGATAACTATCTAGTTAGACGGATATCACCGAGCCCATCGCTCCTCGTGAAGAGAAACCATACAACGAGCACTACTCGCTTTGCTTGACTTCGGGATCTTCGGGATTCGGGATCCTAGGCACTGGATAGGACATAGATGGCCAAGGGACCATCTAGACGGGGCGCAGTTTGATAACACTATACTCGCTACCAAAGACCAATCTGATAAGGCATGGTGCTTTGCAGCTTGCTACAAGGCCTGGGTCTCTCGTGAGATGGGGGATTGTCAACCTTGCCTGGCCACATTCAAAGCGGCGCTTAAGTGCTGAGTTTTTCTCCTTGTTATTTCTCCATTTTATATACCCACATGTCCCATGGCTTTAGGCGCAAACAAAGTGTATTTTAGACCTGAGATTGCATGGCAGGTGTTGATACACGGAGTCGCTTGAGATCCTGCGCCAGACCTAACTTGGTCCTTTTTTTTTTTTTTCTGAGACGCACCTAGGTCGTTAAATATCTGTGGCATAGCAGAAATGAGACTTATCTTGCTACCATTTACCGTTTGCTGCGAATAAAATAAGGCGAGTACTGCTTCGAGAGTACGGAGTACTGCGTCAGTTTTATACTTTTATACCTCTATGCGCCATCCCTGTGCATAATTTTGGTGGTTGAGCTGAAGAAAATATGATTCAAATGGCTGGGGTTTGCGTTGCCTTCGAGACCCGAGAAAATACTGCTTTCTGACCACAGAGGTCTCGAAGAAGAGTTTCTCGCTGTTTGTCTGTCTTCCGTGAATCGTGGGAGATGCGAGATGTGTCTCAGTCGGGCGTCGCTGAATCCAACCCCGATAATATTTTTTATGCAGTGGCCAGTAATGCAGCTAGAGGGATCAACAGCCGACTATTTATTTGCTTGACGGGAGACCCTTGGTCAGTTACACAGGTGACGAGCCAGCCTGTTCGCGCAGTAACCAGTAGCAGGCCATCGCAGGATTCGCAGCTCGGGTAGCGATTATGTCCCTCTTTTCAAAGGTACACTCCTCCGTCCGCATCGATGGTACTTAACGACCATCGAGCATCCAGCGTCCAGCATCCCTTCACCCAACAGTGGACCAGTCAACCAGTCAACTAGCCCACCATGAAGCTGGCTTCTCTCCTCGTCGGCTCGCTGATGCTTGCCGTCCCCGCTCTCGCCTTTGAGCAGTCTGCCATCCAGACTCTCCGCGACGCTACGACTGCTGCCGGAGCCTACCACTCCAAGTTCCCACATGCTGTCAGCGAAGGGCCCGAAGCAGCTATATCGAATATCAACTCTGCAACCGCGAGAGCGGCGGACGAAGCGAAGGCTGCCATGACTGGACTGACGGTGCAGAGCCAGAGTGTAAGTGTGCAATGCAGCCAGCTACAATTCGTTTAGAGAGTGAAAGTTGACTCCGGTCCAGAACAAAGGGCAGTGTCATCAGTTGGCTGGTGCCTTGAAGGGCGTAAGTTGGATCTCATCTCATGTTTTGGTCGTCCTTTTAACGCCTTAATACGGAGTACTGACGATATTTGTTTGGCAGTTCTTTGATGCCATGACGACGCTCTCGCATGATGCTACCAACCCGGCGGTGTTCTGCAGCAAGAATATTGACCGTCTGGGGCCGTCTATGGGATGGAACCTTCGCCTGGTCAGATATGGGGTAGAGGTCGGTTCTGTCCTGCTTCTCTCTTTTTGTCCCTAATAGTCGGCTAATGATATTCAAACAGCCCCATGCTACGACACTGAAGAGAGACTGCAAGGATGGAGAGAAGCTCGCTACTGATCTGGCTGGTGGTTATAAGATCGCCGTCGACAGTCTTGAACAGGCCCAGGCGATGCTAGAGAGCCCTCAGGGCAAGTGTAAGCAGTGAATGCCGTCAGATTTCAGGCATCAACTCTACCAGCTTATGCGCTGTCAAATAATTCTAATAAAGCTCTTCTTATCTCCCTCATCTTGTCTCCTTTCTCCCTGTCAGCTTCTTCATCTCTCGTTTTATATCTCCCATCACGTCGTCCATCTATCCCCCTTTTCTCCAGTCAATCCCCGACCAAACGAAAAAAAAAGAATCACGTGAAACCTTACTAATACTTTCTATCACATGATATCCCGCCCCCTATCTGGGACTAGTGGGTCCAGTTGCCATGGAAATGATGACTAATAATATAATCGTATTATGATTGGCTAGATCCCCGATAAGCACCACTCCATGCCCCACTTTTTGTAAACACTCGGGCCCTTGAATGCAAAAAAGTTTCGGCTTTATGAGATCATGTTTGGATGTTCAAGCCGTGCGACGCGCAAGTCAAATCTGACACCCAGACTCTTGAGGGTTTTCCTCATCCACTGCCATAGCCGTTGAATTCACCTACTTCTGCAACACCCTCATCCCAATTCGGCCGTTGTTCATATAATTGTCGCCTGCCTGGTCGAAATCTCCTCGCCGTCTACGGAGTACCCCGTATTCCTGCCTCCCTGTCTTGCCACCCTCCACCCTGAAAGATCAACAACACCCCTTTCCAATCCCCCAGATGGACAACTGAAGTGCTGGTTCACTATATTACTCCTTTTAAATTCTCACCAGCAATATGGCACCCAGGTCAACGTCGGGCTCTTCAAGAGCGTCCTCTGGCCCTCGAATAAAGATTGACACGGAGAAATACTCCCCTTATGACCATGATGAAGAATACGGCTCTCATTCAGAGTTTTCATACGCAACATCTGCCTCGGAGTCCTCAGCATCCAGACCGTTTCTCTCACAATCAAAATACAGGAGAAGGCCTGGAGTAAGGCTCTACAGAGTCCCCAATTCTATCATGAGGTGGGTTTGCTTGGGCGTGTTTGCGGGGCTGGTCCTCTTTGTCTTCACCTTGTTCAGAGTCACGCTGTCCCAGGCAATCTTCAAGATTCCAGCTCCTCCGCCGCCAAACATATTCAAACCGCAGCCGCCTGAGTGGGAGAGTTTCCCCTTCTTACTGAGATACTACGGCGGACTTCGAACCTTAACACCAAAGAATGAGAGCGCCCCTGAATACCCGGGTGAGAACGACGGACAGGATAATTCTACTGCCGAAGAACCAATTGACATGGACAGAGTTGTCAAAAGCACGCCCTTCAACCCTTATCCAGAATTCTCATCAAAGAGCTACGTTGAAAAATACGGCAGGAAAGTTGACTGCTTTATGGATCCTGAGAGAAAGATCTCTGTCCCCCAAGTCCATCGATACGACGGGCTCCCAAGGGGGTTCCCTGATAGTGTCATAGGCTCTAATGAGTTAATTGGACTTGAAACCAATGCATGCTATGATCGATTTGGTAGGCTTGGACCTTACGGCCTCGGATACGGAGTTAGATCAGGTGGTACCGGAGCTGGACTAGAAGGCGACAGGTCAGGAGTAGACCATATGTGGGAGAATACTTCCCCAGTTGACTATCGAAAGGTCAAATGGGCCAAGGCGCAGAAGCAATGTCTGCACGACAACCGTCATCGATTCCCCCTTCCCCCGGCTCCAAAGACAGATAGATTCCTCGGCATGTCCGTAGGTGAGAAAACGCCACGAGGCGCAGAGGCCACCCAAAATGGTGCGCCAAAAAACGCCACGACTCCTTCCACTACAAAGTTGCCTCGAACCGCAGTCATAATTAGGACCTGGTCAGAGTTTAAGTACGATACTGAAACTATCTTATACCTACGCTCCCTAATCGCGGAGCTGTCGCTCTTTTCTGGTGGGGAGTTTGACGTTCAGTTCCTGATCCATGTCAAAGATGACAACCTCCAAATCTGGTCAGACGAGGACACTTATAATCGTGTTTTGCAGGAGTCACTACCGGAAGAGTTCCAGGGCATGGGTACTCTCTGGTCTGAGAGACAGATGGGCCTCATATATGGTGGTCTTGAAGAGTCATTTGCTCGAAACCTCCCTGTTCATGGCGTGTATCGCAGTACATTCATGCCTGTGCAGTACTTTGCCCTTCAACATCCTGAATACGACTACTTCTGGAATTGGGAGATGGATGCTCGCTACACGGGTCACTGGTATGATTTGTTTAACAAAATGCGTCTATGGGCAAAAGAGCAGCCTAGAAAGGGACTGTGGGAACGAAACAGCCGATTCTATGTCCCTTCTGTGCACGGGTCATGGGAAGATTTCCGCCATACCGTTAGAGTGCAAACTGAGCATGGAACAGCTAGCCCTAATAACATGTTTAGCGCAGCATCCAAGGAACGACCAAACGGTCATCGTCCAACTGAAATGAAAGGGGACAGACCTATCTGGGGCCCCGAGCGCCCACCAGCAGAAAATGATGTGCTAGAGCTGGAAGACGATGGCATTCCCCCAACTACTTACGAGAAGGACAAGTTCGAATGGGGCGTGGGCGAGGAAGCTGACCTCATTGTTCTCAACCCTCTCTATGACCCTGATGGTACCACATGGCTACTGAAGGATGATATTACAGGGTATAACAAGAGCGAGGAATCACCGCCGCGACGAGCAGCCATCATAGCGGCTTCACGCCTCTCCCGCAAGCTGCTACTTACAATGCACAAAGAAACCAGTCTGAAACGACATCACATGTTTTCCGAAATGTGGCCACCAACAGTTGCTCTTCACCATGGCTACAAAGCCGTATACGTGCCCCATTCAGTGTACATTGATCGACGATGGCCAACTGCCTACCTCGAGTCAGTCTTCAATGCAGGCCGCAACGGCGCAACTGGTGGAGCCAGGACATCCGTCTTCGGTAACCGTGAGCATAATTTCAGAGGAACAACCTGGTATTACTCTGCCGGCCACTCGGAGAATCTCTGGCGACGATGGCTAGGCTACCGATCCAACAACGATGGTGGTGAAGAATACGAACTGGCTAATGAAGGGAGGATGTGTTTGCCGCCCATGCTACTACATCCTATCAAGGAAGTTAATATGGTTATCGATAGTGCTGGGAGATCATGAGCTTTCTCCCCTGGCGAGGCATTTCCACCCTAATGATTCTTTACACATTTCTTATCCCATCGGGAATGGGTGTTAATTACTATTTCCTACCCTTTCATGGCGATGGCGTTGATATATGCCCATGTTTTGTTTTCTGTTGAAGAGTATCATGTCTTTTCACCACTGTTTAATATGTGCTACCAGTCCCACCGCCTCCTGTTGCATATGATGAAGTGTTTTATTGCTGATTAACCGGTTATCTACATGTTTAGATGGGTAATAATATGGGAATAGATTGGATTTATGATGTGCTCCTTGACGTCCGCTTCTAATGGTAAGCCGTGTTTGCACATAGCATTGATGTTAGCTACGTGCTGGATAAAAATAACACTATATAAATCCTCTCGTCTATGTATCTAGCACATACGAACACAGGAAGTGGAAAACAGAGCTTCCCGTCCGCTCAGCTGTACTTAAGCCACTTGCCGGTCGGTTAGTAGTTGGGTGGGTGACCACCAGCGAATCCCGACTTTCGTATGTTTCATCTTTTTTTTATCATTATTATTTCAATTCTGCCTCCTATTGCTCTGAATTGATAGCAATTTCTATCAGATAAGTTGTATTTTGGTTATTTGATGCCCCAAGTAACTTGTTACAGGCACACAATTGTGCTGGTAAAAATTCCTGCTGGCAGACTTAATCGGAGCCTTAAATAAGCATTCCACTCATCTCTTAACCCAGAGGCTTAGCTATAACATGCAGTATCTGCCTTGACTATAGTCTTTGTGGTTTGTAGCAGTTTCCCATGTCCATCACTGACTTTCACCACCGCAGGAGACACAACAACCTGTCCAGCAGCTAAGTTGCTCCAAATGAACTGGAATCCACACGGCTGTTCAAAGAGCCAAATTCCTAACTCTGCTGCATCCTCTATTACTTTGGTTAGATGGCGTATTCTCTCTGATTCTCGATGCTGAGGGTTTGCGAATGGTCGGAATGCAGCTGTGAAAGCATTGACGGCTTGCGAAATGTTCTCGGCCCTCGTGGAGAGGTATGCTTGCTTTTGTGTATCGGGCACACCTCGGTAACTGCGCGCGGTTAACATTCTCCAGTAGAAGTGAACCTGGCTTTCTTCTTGGTCTAATATGAGGGTTAGCTTTGTACTCTAGTGATTCTCGAGCTCGTTTTGGGTACGTACCTTGTAGTTGCATTTCATGGAAATCCCTGCCGGCGGTGAATGGAGGTGGGAGAAACGAAGTTACTTCAGATCTAGAAGCAGATGATGGCGCAGCATGAAAGGTAGCTGGAATGAGAGACTGAACCAGGCAATGCTTTATGATTGGTTCGCAGTCATTGGATTGAGACAGTAGAGAGACAACTGGCGCTGGCAGAAACGGAGAATTGTAGCTGCTAAGCATAGCTACACATTGAGATAACTGCTCGGATTCAGAATTCGAACGCGAGCTGGAAGTGTAGTAATTCTCGACATGAAGGGCAAGATGGTCAAAGACAGTCAAGATACGGCTCTCCACTGTCTTGTCATCCGCTGGACTAGGAATATAGTTTCCTAAACCACTTTTTTCCGCATGTAAATCAAGAGAACCGACTGTGTTTGTCTTATCTGTATTCCCAGCAAACGGAACATTGCTACTGAAATGTTCTGGGGAGCAGGCTGTTTCTAGATCGTAGTTCTTGTCTGCCAATGGTTCTCTTGTCTGCCTGCCTTCAAGATTGTTCCCCCCTCTCGACTTCCGGCGGCCAAAGAAGAGGTACGCAGCAATGAGAGTTAGAAGCGTACTTCCAACAATAGAACCTCCAATTGCACCGACCAGTATCCCAGTGCTGAAGCCAGTGGTTTGGGGTTTTTTATGTAAAGGGGGATGGCTAGGTTGCAGGCTCTCTGTAGGCGGACTGTAAGTTGCTGTGGTAGGAGGATATT